GTCCATCATAATTGAGGATTCCGATCCGTGGTCATAACAGTATATGTAACACCAATTATTTTATTCAAATCAGCAGTTAACAAAAAATTCAGGATTACATAATAGGATCTGAATTTAGCTCATACTACAGTACTCCAATTTGTAAATCTTGTGTTGTTTATGTAGTCAATCACAGCAAAATATGATTCAAGATCCAGAACTTTGCTCAAGTCAACCCCAATATTGTATGTTCAATTTTCTATCTACTCACAAGGGGAAATGGCTAAATGAATACACGAAAGTGCTTGCAATAGCAATTTATAAATGCCAAGTGATTAATGCAACATTTTGTCACTTTTTATTAAGTAACATTTTCTTCCATGAATTATAGACAAACTCCAGAAGGCCAATATCAGCTTAATGATTGACATGAGATAATTTAAAGTGTAGTCTGACTTTTGATGTTTTTCTCCATATTTAAGGCATCCCATTTTTTTAACTCTTCACAAAAATTACGTCAGCTTGTGGAAAAATAAGTTGTAAGTAAAAACAAAGCATGACAAATTTTGAACTTTATGTTGATAAAAGCATTACTCGCTTTAAAGCACCGATTTTCATTCCTGGAGTTGTACACACAGAGTTGGGAGAAATCACTATTCCATAGACCTGAGCTTTAAAAATAACCATTCACAGTTCTGACTTTGAGGCTGGGGAGGCAAGCTGGATTTGGAGTTGTGCTGAGAAGCCTGGCAAGAATTTAAGAGGCTGCCCAGTTCCTGCTCAGACTGAGTGGAAAGCTTACCTCAGGGCTCCAGCACCAAGTTTAAAGATTAAAAATGAATATTGAAACATAAACCATCCTTCTTTACTCATCCAATCATTTCCCTCACTCTCCACACCACTTCAGAGCTAACTTATGCCTTATAACCTATGGCTCCTCATACACCCATGCAACCCAATGCCCATCTACTCATGTCCCATGTTCTTTTGTATCCCCTCTGACAACCAATGCCTGTTCACCTATCCCTCATGTCCATTGATACCCCCATACCACTAATTCCATCTCCCATGGCCTCACAGACTCCATATGTCCTCCATCATCTCCATGGCCATTTATGGTCCTTTTGTTAACTCAATGTCAACATAGGCCCCACTCATTGCCCTTTGCCTTCCCTGTCCATGCCAATTCATCTGTATTTCAGCATGGGCATTAGTCAGGAGGTAAATTGATAGAGAATAAAGGTATCAGTCTATTGATGATGTCAGTATTGAAAGAAAAGCAGTGTGAAGGTAAAGTGACCATTGTCCCATCCTCTCATCGGAGAGAGAGAACTGCTGGTGGTCTAACGTGAGTGTCACGAAGCATCAGATGAGGGCAAGGTTGAAAAAGTGGGGCAACCTCAGTCAGTGCAGGAATTGAACATGCACTGTTGGCATCATTCTGCTTTGCAAACAGCCACCCAGCCAACTGAACTATTTGGCACTCTGAAAGACAAATGCAATCATATTGAAACCAAAAAACCCTTACATTGAAATTGCTTCAACTAATTCTTCATAAAGACAGTTAACTTAAATGCTTGATGACCTGTACAAACAAACCTCTCACTCAAGTGCTCAATGTTTTACATAAACAGACATCTGAATTAAGTGCTTAATTTCTCATGTCAGTAAAATAAGATCCATTCAGTAAGTGACTGGAGCTGTCTATCACAAAGTACCCCATTGTGAAAATGGTAGCCTGAGAAATCTTCCATCACAAATCCAATTCTGTAATGGTTTCATGTGAACAGGTAGTTTGAAATATCCAGCATGTTCTTTTGTGAACAATTTCTTGACAGCTTCAGCAGTCTCGATGTGTTTATGCACTTTTTTATGCATAACTTTTCAAAATCCAAAATGTAACGTCTTACCTCCCCCACAGGTGCCCTGCCTCTACTACAGATGTCCTGTGATCAGTCCGAAAGGTATCTTACCTCTCCAAAAGGGGAGAAATTAAAAAAACATTCCTTCAGACCTCAACCTTCCTATCCTCCTTGCTCCCCTTCACCCCACAAACACTTGTGCTACACCAGTGACAATCCACACAACCCAATACCCTCTACCCATCCTCCATAGCCATTCATACCTTTATGTTAATTTTCGCCCACTCTTTCCCACTTCATCTACAATGTCAACTCATTAAGTATCCACAAGTACCCATACACACAGGGAAAAATGTTTGGTTATTCAAATGTCTACATTGCGGTCTATATTTACTCTCATTTATAAAAAACACATTTTAAAACTTGCTGCAGGATCTTTACAGGCCTTGAAAATTTGGATGTTTTCAAGGGATGGATGTATCTTTTGCACAAAGTTAATAGTCCTAAAGAGTACCTGGCTGCCTGCAGGAGATCCCTCTCCCCTACCTCAAAAGGATACCTGACTTCACCCCGTGCAAATGATCCTTGATGGCCACAAAACAGGGTAGCCTGGGACCATATTAACAGGGGTACCTCAGTGTTCTCAAGTGATACCCTGCCTATCTAAAACAAATGCACTGAGAACAGACCAGTTCTTCCCTGGTGTAATCTCCACATTCTGGATTCCAGGTACCCCAAAATCTGATGTCAGTGGAGGCAATTAGTCATATGAATGACCAGTTACCCCCCAAGAAACATTCAAATTGCTTTTCAACTTTATGTGGCATTTTTACTCTAATGGAGAATATCTCCATCATGGCAAAAATTTGGACTCAAGGCTTTCCATTCATAATTCCAGGTCAATCTGCCAAACCAGAGCAAACATTTGGCAGATAGTAGATGTATGTTACTTCTGAAAGAACATGCATTTCTGTTTGTCACAATTTTTTCTCATGGTTCAAGAGTTAATTTATCTGAATCAGGCATCACGCTAAACTGGCCCAGACCAAGTAGAAATTGTAAGCTTCCTCCTATTGAAGAAGGTTATTAAAATTGCATTGAAAGAAGGCACTAAGATTGTTTTTCCTCATATCAAAAACTATTTTAATTATTAAGCAAACGGCCAATGTGCCCCAATGAATCTATTTTAATATTCAGATTTTTTAAAATGTTTTTTGAATAATTTTAAATATATTACCTACAGGTTCATTACAAATGCTCATCTTTAATGATAAGCTCCTTTTCAGCAATATTAATAAAATTACACCAGATTGCTATTCCTAAATACAGCAAGAACAGTTTGCATGAAATGAAAATAAATAAACATTCACATTCTTTAGTGCTGAGATACAAGGTGTAGAGCTGGATGAATACAGCAGGCCAAGCAGCATCAGAGGAGCAGGAAAGCTGACGTTTCGGGCCTAGACCCTTCTTCAGAAATGGATTTCTGAAGAAGCGTCTAGGCTCGAAATGTCAATCTTCCTGCTCCTCTGATGCTGCGTGGCCTGCTGTGTTCATCCAGCTCTACACCTTGTTATCTTAGATTCTCCAGCATCTGCAGTTCCTACTATCTCTGAAACATTCTTTAGTGCTGCCCAGTTGTGTTGTTTCTTGCCAGATTTTGTGTTTGTGATTATACAAATGAATTCAGTGTAACTTTGAATTGTAATTGCAGTTTCAAGGATATTTTGGGTACAGATTAGAGGGAACATTAACTTTTCAAACTTCATGAAGGTCACCCCATGAGCCAATCATTTGCAATGTTAAACTCCACTGTTGCTGCTGCATCCTTCTTGATGCTTTTGATGCTATGACTTGTGATTGATTTCCACTGAAGGTGCCATATTGGAATAAAAATTTCTGACAGTAAGTATTTCAGACATACAGTACATTACAGACTCTGAGAATAGCATCTGAAAGCACTGGTATAGATTTATATCTGACAGATGATGAGAGCATTTGTAATGAAACTGAGCAACAAATTTAAAATTATTCAAATGACTTTAAGAAAATAATTTGAACCACACAGTAGCTTCATTGGGTACATTAGTAATTTCCTTCATACTTAAAATGCATTTGATGTGGAAAAACTTAATCCTACTTAGGCCTTCTTTGTGTATAATTTGAATAACCTTCCTCAATTGCAGGAACTTGCCAGAATAGAACAGGCCAGAGACCCAGAGTCAATCCTTTTAGGATACCGATTCAAATCTGGAATATACGGCTAGTCTAAGTGCTGGAGTTATGAAGTATTGATGGTTGTAAAAACCCACTTAGAGTCATAGAGTTATACAGCATGGAAACAGACCCTTCAGTCCAACATGTCTGTGCTGACCAGATATCCTAAATTAATCTAGTCCCATCTGCCAGCATTTGGCCCATATCCTTCTAAGCCCTTCCTATTTATTTAGCCATCCAGATGCTTTTTAAATGTCGTAATTGTATCCATCTCCACCACTTCCTCTGGCAGTTTGTTCCATACACACCCCACCTTCTGCATGAAAAGATTGCCCCTTTGGTACCTTTTCAATCTTTCAATCTCTCAGCTTAAACTTATGTCCTCTAGTTTTGGACTCCCCTACCATGGGAAAAAGACCTTGGTTTGCTAATATCCTTTAGGGAAGGATATCTATTGTTCATCTCTGATCTGACTCTAGTATGTGACTCTAGCACTCACACAGTGAGTTCATTCAAGAGCAATTAGGAACAGGAACCTAGGTGTAGGAATAGGCCATTCAGCCCTTCAGGTCTGCTCTGCCACACTGGATCTTGGCTGATCATCTTACTCAATACCTTATTCTCACATTAGCCCCACACCCTTCAATGTCATTTGTAATTAGAAATCTCTGACTTGAACTTACTGAATGACTGAGCTTCCACAGCCCTCTGGAGTAGAATGGCAACAAATGCTGGCCTTACCCGCAGCACTCACATCCTGTGAAAGAAAACAGAGAGAAAAAAAAGCCAAGATGTGCCACTCATATAGATCTAGATTCAGTGCTGTTAACAAGTTATCAGCTTTTATTTTGTGAGACTGGCATGTTTGTCACAAATGTTTATTTGATAAATTATTTGAATATTTAAATATTATTCCAGCAAAGTATCTCACCTTAGTTGATTTTTCATCTCGACCAGTTTATGTCTTAATTTTCTTCAGTGTTATCTTCAGAACCATAAATTTCTAGAATTCAGCTGTACTGTTTGACCTGTAGTCCACAAGCTCTTTACCAGTGAAAGTGGTATTTGCTGGGTATATTGGCTGAATGACCCACAATGAAGAACAAGCTGTTTTCAATTTCTTTGGTATATTTAATCCTTCAAGTACTGCTCGTAACATTTTGCATTCTGGTGGAGAGGACCAATTAATATTATTCAGTTACAGAATATCAGCTGCTGAGTATGTAACATTTGAGACAAAACGTGAGTGTGAGATAAGGAAAGGCCATGAACATTGCCATACTGTAGGCTCAGTAATATTGAGTTTATGACAGCAGGTTCTTATAAACTACTAGACTGTACCAAAGTACACTTGTATGCCTGGTTAGTCCACTGCTGACTGCATTCTGTACAGGAAATCAACCACAAAGGCATTCACATAGTGCTTTAAACAAGTAAAGAAATGTTGATAATAAAAAAGAAAGCTGAGAGTTTCTTTATTCTCTAAAATGATCAGTAAGTTCACTTATCCTTCGCTTGGTTGTGTCAGTCATACAGTTACTAATTATTAACTGTCAGTTTGTGTTCTTGGCGTGAGAGCACTTATTTGGGTGTACATATCAAGAATTATGATTTTTTTCCAAAAAATCACAATTTGGGCTTTACTTGCAAGACCAACAGTTATTGATTGCCCTTTCGAAGAGAATGGTGATACACCTTCCTCATAAGGTGTTGCAATACATGTGGAGACAGAACTGCCACAACACCGTTAGCTTCCGGGCCTTTGACACAGCAATAAAGGATCTGCCCCAACCAATGATCTTCCTTCTGTTGTGAGAGAACTTCCCTATATTTCAGATTACATCATTAATTTGGAACACACTGCTAAGTTTGTTAGTATCAAAGGTCGATCAGGATGAACACTATTTCAGAGGTCATAAGTTACTGGAATACTGAGAACAGGCAAAACTCTGTAAAATGATCCCTCAGGCGTGAATTGATAGCAGTGCTTTCAGGTCTTCTTCCCAAAGTCTACAGTGCACAAACTCTGATTATACTTAGTTATGAATAGTCATTTGGTTGTACGGAACTTGAGTATTGCCAAAAATAGACACGTTTTGTTGAAGTTTTTTGTCTTGCACTCATTGGGACAAATTATTGATTTAAGAGGAAAATTAACACCGAAACTTCATGAGAAAAGAGTATTGATTGGCTGGCAAGTGCGCTGTGATTAGTAATGCCATGGTGAATGGACCGATTATTGATGATTGGCAGTTAATCACCAGGCTTTGTTTAAAATATAAACGAGGCAGGTTGGCTCTAATTCTAGAGGGCATTACCCTAAGAAATGAATTGAAGATGGGTTGAATGGCCTCCTCTGTGAAATAACTCCACAGAGGCTGGTGTCCCATCACTAAGTCACCCTTTATTTACACGTAGAAAGTCCTTGACACTGATCCAGCTAACTGAGGGCCAGCTGTCAAAGTGAACAGAACACGTGACACTCCTGTTTATATCTTTCAGCCAAGTCTCCCTGATTGGACCAGGTTAACAGCCCCAATCATTCTATGAGGTCCACCTGCCTGACCTGGTTACAATCACTACACTCTGCACCATAAACGTTATGTGATTCAGAATAGCCGTCACACATTTTGTTGAATTGACAAGATTCCTGCAGATAGGATAAGATAAAACCCCAGGTTAGAAAATTCCTGCTTCTCGTAAAAGAATGAAATGTAGACAACGTGTGCATGTGTGATTTTTGGGGGATAAGGCTTGGTGGTTTTCTGCATGTGTTGGACAGAGGTGAGACAGAGCCAGGCAGGCATTGACAGAGTATCAACAGGTTTTTGTGTTTAGCCAGCCCATGACAGAATGTCTCTGAATTTGTTTGAATAAATGTGAGGATAACCTGTATACCTGAATCCTCTATGGTCTGTGCAGAATATTAACCACAACATATTCATGTATGTAGTTTCCAGTACACACAGTGTGGCCAACTGTGAGACTAACTGATAATCTTAAATTGGTAGTCAATCTAATTCTTTGTACACTCAGCATTGGCCAGCAAATGCTGCAGAGTCACTTCTAATATTGGACATTATGTTACAAGTTTTGTAAAGTGGGCATGATCAGTAATTGCTTGTTGCAAACAGCCAAATGGATATGTTGTTTAATGCAAACTGCCAGTCTTTGGTATGTATAGGCTCCATATCCGGCATCACACCAGCATTGAAATTCATATACCAGATTACACAGTTGCATGATAGGTAGAACATCCTTTTGGCTTGACAGCATCATCCTGTTGGTGGCCAACACCACTCATGTTGCCACTGCATTGCAGCAATGTGATACAGCTAACCTCACCTGTTGCTTCAACATTTGAGAAGCATTTCCCCTTTCAGGATAATATTTGTCTGACGAGGCATAATTTCGGGACCAGAAGTGATAGTCTAATGCCCAGTCACTTTTCAGTATACTCATTGAGATTCTTATGGTCCACACACTGAAAATTGGCCTTAATTGCAACCTTGTAATATAGCCCCAACCACATGTTTACCTTGCAAATTTGTTGCTCAAATAATACACCCGCCATCCTGCAGGAATGGCTACCCAGATCAGATCACTCTTGCTTTATATCATACAAACTGAATGGGTCTTAGGCATTCATATTTTCTCAGTCTGATCAGAGTCGATCTGTATGGCAGTTAACTGTCAATCATCTCTAATTGGTGCATCTTCCATGGCAACACCTCCACCAATCAGAATTCAGTTGCCAAGCAATTACCATTCTCTTCTCATGCAGTATAAATGTCGTTTTCCTCTTGAATTAGTACTCTTAGGAATTGATCTGATGAGTGCAATAGAAAAATCTTCGTTAAAATCTTTTCACAGCAATATTTATTTATGTTTTGAAATATCCCCTTTAACTGAAGGCGTAACAGAATTTTCTGAATAGGGTAGTTGGTTGTCATTCTAAATCTCTACATGAATCCAGGTAGTTGTGACCTAGTGGTCATGGGGAAAGAAACATAAATCAAAATCTATTGAAATGCAGGTGACATTTTCCACATGATGGCAAAGGGAAAGGACAACTGCCCTTTAGAAAGACACAGAGCAACAGAGCAAGAAACACAAACCAATTACTACGTGTAGCGAAGCAACAACTACTGATGTGAAGAGTAGAGTGAACTGCTTATCTGTCAACATCTAAGCTGAATTCTTGTGTTTGTGGATTTTCTATTTGAAAGGAAGGGAACAAAGCAAATGAAATGTATTTGAAGACTTAAAGATCAAGGAATCATCAAGGTGAGCATTGTTGATGTGAGCAAGTATGTTATGGAACATTTAGAATTAATTAAATGATTTTTGAAGGACACCAGAAGACGTGACCTGGTATGGCAGCAAGAAGTGAGTATGTAGGAAGGCCAACAGTGACTGGGGACTAAATGTGCATTGGTATATATCTGCTAGAAATGTGGAGAAAATCATAGATTCTCCACAGTGAAAAAAGAGACCACTCAGCCCATTGAGGCTCTGCCAGCCCAAAAAACTCCCACCCAGACTCAGCCCCCCACTCTATTCCTATAATATCCATTCATCATGGCCAATCCATTTAACCTTCTCATCTTTGGACTGTGGGTGGAAACCTGATTACCCAGAAGAAACAGGGAGAACATGCAAACATCACACAGACAGTACTCAAGGCTGGAATTGAACCCAAGTCCCTAATACTATAATGCAGCAGTGCTAACCACTGTTCCAGTCTAAAGTAAGAACATTTCATATAGCACAGTTTGTTGAGCTAATTAGTTAATGCAAAGTAGCTTTTCAGTAATTTGATGTATTAGTTATCTGTTAAATAATGTTTGATCTGCATTGATTTTAGTTTATTTGCTACAGTGAAAATCCTAAAGCATGAAATATTGTCCTGTGGTTTATTCACATTGTCCTCTAATTTATTGGTCACCGGGAAATTCAAATCTTTTCTAAAGGTTGTTGATCTCTGTGACAAATGTAACAACTACATCCCAGATTCTGTGATATCTTCTACCCAGTGTCTAGTATACTGCACCCTCAGAGAATGCAATATGTTGTACCTTCAGAGTCTATGTTATACAATATCCCCAGAGTTTGAAGTGTACTGCACACTCAGAGCCTATAAATATACTGAACTTCCGAAGTTTAAAGAGTAGTGCACTCCCAGAGTTCACATAATATTGTACTTTCACAAGCTGCCAAATAGGGTATCTCCAATTCTTGCAGAACACACTGTGCCCCGACTGTTTGGAATGCGCTATATCTTGGAGTTTACAGTATACTGTTCTCCCAAAGATTGAGCTTCACTGTGCCTCCAATGTTTTCAGTATAGTGTTGCCCAGAATGTAAAAGGTACAGCATACTCTGTTGCAGAGGGATGGAGAGTAAATGTTATTTTTTTAATTGTCAGTATTTTCTTACTGCCCCAATCCGTAATCCCAACATAAACCTGAGGTGTGATCCATTTCTATCTTTAACTAACATCATAGAATCATAAAGTCATACAAATGTACAGCATGGAAACATACCCTTCGGTGCAACTTGTCCATGCCAACCAGCTATCCTGAATTAATCTAGTCCCATTTGCCAGCATTTGGTCCATATCCCTCCAAACCTTTCCCATTCATACACCCATCCAGATGCCTTTTAGATGTTGTAATTGTACCAGCCTCCAATACTTCCTCTGGCAGTTCATTCCATATGCGCACCACCCTCTGTGTGAAAAAGTTGCCCCTTAGGCCCCTTTTAAATCATTCCCTTCTCACCTTAAATCTATGCCTTCTAGTTTTGGATTCCCCTGCCCTGGGGAAAAGACCTTGACTATTCACCCTATCTGATGATCACTGATTCTCAATAAGTTGTTGTGGGGGCCAGAGATACAGGATATTCTTGTACTGGGAATCCTCACGCCAAGTCTTGTCTCTACTGATGGTACTCGTCTTGTAAAAGCCTGACAAAAGCTCCTACAATAGGCAGTATGTATATAGTACCTGGTCTTCCTGGTGCAATATCAGCAGTTTTACAGTTGGGGTGTGCTGAGTGAGCTAAGGATTTATATGCCCTCAGTTCCGCCAGTAACAGCAATGCCCAGCTGCACTACACTCTACATGTAAAAAGGAGAAATCGATGCACACCAGTTATTCTCTTGTTTTGGTTTACAACAAATTCAGCAAAGCATAATAAAACATGAGACACTGAAATTGTGAGACACATTTACAATAAGTCAACTACAATGAGAGGCAGAAGTTGGAATCTGATAGGGTCAGAGCAATATGGAGATGGTGGGATTTGTGGCAGAATGAGACAAGAAGCCTAACCAGGCTCATCATGATATTGGGAGCATCTCTATTTTAGCAAAGCTTTGATGTGGGTTCCTTGTATTGCCAATTAAAAGGGATTCTTGTTCATTACACATCTTGTTAACAACCCAACTCACCTCATTGTTTTTCGTCATTCTATCTTTTTGAAATCTCTGGGCCAAGTTAGACATTGAGAAATCTAAGCATGGAAACCAGGTACATGGTGGATTCAGCTCACCAGTTGCTCCAAATGATCCCCAAGTCATGTACAAGCAAAGTGCATGTCAGGGTATGATCCATGGGCACCAGCTGCACATACACTCCTTTCCATGGCTGTTGGCACCCAGCACTTAGCAGCCTCTTGTGACCATTATGGGGAACCTCTTTGATTCACTGGCAGACTGGCTCTGGAAGCACACATTTACATTGTAAGAGTTGAAAGGCTGCCTCAGAAACACTTTGCACACAGGGACAGACATCTAGCTGAATGACTGGACTAGTCTGCCTCTCCGGGCTGCTTGTTTGCGAGAGTAAATGACTTGGCTTGTTAGAACTGCAGCACCCACTAATGTTAGGACTTTTAAAGGGGAAGAATATTGCACATAGACCCATGTGTTGTACAAGATATGGACCTGCAGAGTGACCATTGTAATGTATCGCTGAGTTAGCAAGCCCCACTCCTGCAGTCATCACAAAACTTAAATGAATGATAGAAGTATTCAAAAATTCTCCATTTTACCTCACTTTCAGACCCAGGATGATAGAAAGCTCAGACCATTTATTGGAAGCAAATGGCCTTGCACTCCGGGTAAATAATTATGAACCACAGGCATGTTAACTCTACTAATTAAAACTCGAGCCATCCAAATGCCTTGTTCCCCTTTTTATGTTGCAGATCCCTGCCACAGACATCACTGAACAATTCATTCACACTTACACTGTCGGACACATTGGCTGTAAATGAATCGGGATGTTATTCAGGGCAGTTTCAGCGGCACCCTGTTATACGCCTCGGAGATGATGCAGCAGGCTCTCACCACAGATCACCATCTGTAAAACATTGTCCGTGGACATGAAGTGATGCCTCACTCTGTAACAAAGGCATTTGGAGCTATATAGAGACAAACAATCAGAGGTAAAGACAAATCAGTGAAGTTTATAAAAAATGCAAGATCAGGGATAGTGCACTGTCATCTGTGCCACCAAAATGGCATCAAAGAATCTGTTTCCTTTAATTCTCCCTCCCACTACATCTTTGTGTACTCCTTCATTCTGCCAGGAGTTTGCTTGGCAGTGGAGCATGCTTGTTAGAAGTAAGCCGATCCTCCTCAGCCTCATCTTCTGAGGGTGGAAATGAAGGTGACCACGTCTGGAGTGTCCTGAGTGGAGCCGTCTGAGCAGGCTGCGTGTGGTCCCTCCCCCAGCTGGATGCCTCTTGGCACCACCCTGTCTCCTTGTGAAGAGGGGGGGGGCGCCTGGGGTCCATGCCAGGTTCGCCATCCCCATGGAACCATGCCTTCCATCTTGACGACCAGTGACTGGGATGCAGGGATGCAAGTTTGTATGCATCTCCAGCGTGTGATCCCTCCGTTTGTTGGACTTTGGTCTCATGGCAACCGCCAACCTGCCCATGAGGCAGCCAGATGGCCACATGATGCACTGCACTGCTGCAGCTTTGGGGCAATGAGTGCCACTGCATCCGACATACCTGCCTGCTGCTTCGGTTCCCCTCTGAGTATGCCAGCGAATTCCCTCTGTTTTTTTAATTCACTCAACGCTGGTTGGCCAGGAGGGTGAGATTTATTAGGAACAAATTACTGCAGGTGCTGGAATCTGTACTGTAGACAAAAAATGCTGGAGATCACAGCGGATCAGGCAGCATCCATGGACAGAGAGCAAGCTAACATTTCGAACCTAGATGACTCTTCGTCAGAGCTGACGTGAAGTGTAGAGGGGACAGCATTTATGCAATAGTGAGACACAGGGATTGCGGGGTGGAGTGCTGGGAGAGAAAGACTGTTGAGAGTTCAGATAAAGTGATCGGAATGTGAGAATGGCAGAATAATAGTGTGTCTAACAGCCAGAGAGGAACGATCGGTCAGTCCCACTGAGGTTGGGGGAGGGGAGAGAGGACACGGTGACAGAGAATGTAACAAGTAAAGCTAAAAGAAAGGGAAGGAATGGAGTGCGTTCACAATCTGAATGCGTTGAACTCTATGTTAAGTCCAGAAGGTGTTGAAGTGCCAAGGCTGAAGATGAAATGTTGTTCCTGCAGTTTGCGCTGTGATTCGCTGGAACATTGCAGCATGCTGAGGACAGACAAGTGGGCATACGGGAAGGCCGCTGTGTTAAAATGACCAGCTACAGGAAGGTTGGGATCATGCTTGCACATAGATTGGAGGTGTTCTACAAAATGGTCACCCAGCCTGCATCAGAGACAATTAGCATAGGCCACATTGGGTGCAGCAAATACAATACATAAGATTGGAGGAGGTACAGGTGAAATGCTGCTTCATCTAGAAAGGCTGTTCAGACCCTTGGATGGTGAGCAGTGAGGAGGTGAAGGGGCAGGTTTGTATCTTCTGTGGTTACCTGGGAAGGTGCTGTGGGAAGGGGCCGTTGGTGTTGGTAGTTGAGGAATGGACGAGGGTGACCTGGAGGGAATGGTCCCTGCGAAATGCAGACAGGGGATTGAAAGGAAGATTTGTTTATTGGTGGCATTCTGCTGGAGTTGTCTGAAATGGCAGAGAATGATCCTTTGAATGTAGAGACTGGTGGGATGAAAAGTGAGGACACGGGGGGCCCAATCACTGTTGAGAATGATGGGAAGGGGCTAGGGTGGAAGCACGGGTGGTAGGTCGGATGTAGTTGAGGGATCCACGTGGGAAACCATGGTTATGGAAGAAGGAAGCCATGTGAGCAGCGCTGTTTTGGAAGATAGTATTGTCTGAACAGATATGAAGTAGGCAAAGGAACTGAGAGAATGGATGGAATTCTTGCAAGACATGGGGTGGTGAAGAGCTGTAGTGAAGGTAGCTGTGAGAGTCAGTGGATTTGTAGTGGATGGCAATAGACAGTTTATTCCCCGAAATGGAGACAAAGAGGTTTAACCTCTCCGTCTCCATTTCGGGTGATTGTTTTGCAGAACATGCGCAAGCATGACCCCGACCTTTCTGTAGCCGGTCATTTTAATGCAGCGTCCTGCTCGCATGCCCACTTGTCTGCCCTCAGCATGCTGCAATGCTCCAGCAAATCACAGCGCAAACTGGAGGAATAACATCTCATCTTCAGACTTGGCACGTTACAAATTTCTGGACTTAATATTGAGTTCAAGACTTTCAGATTGTGAACTCACTCCCATTCCTTCCTTTTCTTTTAGCTTTACTTGTTACATTCTCTGTCACCATGTCCTCTCTCCCCGCACCCCACCCCAGTGGGACCGTCTGTTCTTTCCCGTCTGGCAGTTAGACTCACCATTATTCTGCCATTCTCACATTCTGATCACTCAATCTGCATTATCAGCAGCATCTCTCCCATAGCACTCCACTCCCCAACCATTGCATAAATGCTGCCCCTTCCATACTTCACATCGGCTCTGATGAAGAGTTGTCAAGGCTTGAAACATTAACTTGCTTCTTCCAGGTTCCTCCCAGAGCCCAAAGATGTACAGGCGAGGTGGACTGACCATGCTAAATTGCCCATAGTGTTCAGGGATGTGTAGATTAGGTGGGTTATAGGAGTATGCGTCTGGGTGGGATGCTCCAGGGTTGGTGTGGACTTGTTGCGTCGTAGGGCCTGTTTCCACACTGTAGGGATTCTATGATCTTAACTTTTCACTGCTCATCATGCATTCAGCAGCAAAAAGAGCCTTCCATGAGTAATATTTAGATGAGCATTAAATACTTTGAAGGTCATTGCTAATCGATTTCTAGGGGTGGGTTTTTCCTAAAGGCTTTGGAAAGTTGACTTTGGTGGGACAAAGTGGGAGTCCTGAGCTGAGTCCTGATAAAATCATTAATAAAGTAACATCTTCTGGTAACAGCCATCTAGTTATCTGCCTCTAGGTTTGCAGTCCAATGGGGGATGAAGGGCAGTCTCTCAGTGATACTAACCCAATCAGAGGGCTGATAGCTCTGAAACCTTTGGCAGTGCCTTTAATGTATCTTGTATACCTCAAAATGGAGGTTGAGTTCAACCAGAATGTTCATTTCCAAGTATTACTGCTGTGTTGCTGGCTCTGAGAAAGATTATAATCATCTTGACCCACAGAATAGTGGAAACTCCCTACCCACAAGGCTATGTGGGAGGTCCTCATCCCAGAAGGAGCATCCGAAATGCATCCAAAGTACGCAAGGCTGGATGGAGATTAACAAATTTGTGTTACTGAGAAATGGGCCCATAGTGGAAAAGAGAGCAAGGAACATTTCCTTAAACATGAGGAGGTGAGGTAAATGAGACAGGCAGATATGATCTATAGAAAGTGCAATATGATTGTTAAGGGGAACGTTCCACTCATCTAATAGGATACTGTGGACTGAGTTGCATTGGAAATCTCAGCACTGCAGAGGTTTCTGATCTCTAAGGTTAGTTCTGAAGACCTCTTCTTCTGTGCCCTACAGGAGCCAGACATGGAGACAATAAGATCATCTCCAACACCTTCTATAGGCCTAGCTCAGAGTGGATAGGGCTCAGAATACACACCTCACAATTTCTATGGGTTTTTGTTGCTCTTAATTCTGAAATGTGTTTTCAAAAGAGGACTGCTACAGAGACAAAATAACTGCAGGTGTAAATTCAGTGGAGGGCTGATGCAAATTCTCTGTCAATTTAATGGAATGTAACACCTAAAGATGTCAATCAAACATCATATAGAGATTTGAATGGCCCACCCTGGATCATAGAGGAAATGGTAAGATATTAATGGAGTTGACTATCCCTCACTCTCAACTCTCCATCATTCTTTTGGCATGGAGCCACCTCCTGTAGACACTTTTTTCTGGTTTCCCCTTCGAGGAATATACGGAAAGGGAACTAGTAGATAGCTTCAACACTAATGTGTACGTGTGTTATTTATTAGGCTGCTGTGGAATCTACTGTGAAAGTCACTAGTTGAGAACAGTGAGTAAGCATCAAAAGCAGGCAAAGAAAGATTCTTCATTACTCCAAGTGCTGCTAACCAGTTTTTAAAAAATCAATACGCAAGAAGTTTTATCAGTGAACACAACCAAGAATCTCGAAAATTAAATGTTGAACTGACAAATTCAGTGCTACTGGTGAAACCCTGCAAAGACAGAAATGTCATTTTATGTGCTGTTCAGAAACAACAATTTTTGAAGATTTTTTTTGAACTTGCCTCTTATTTCTCATCATTAATATCTTGTCATTTCCTCTAGGATTGGGGTAGGCATTCTACTCTCTGCTTAAGTTTCTTTGACACCTTTAGGTGTTACATTCCATTAAACCCACACAGAATTTGTATTAGCCAACCACTGTGTGTTAAACATTTCTTCTTGTGAGTAGTATTTAATAAACTTACTCATTTGTTGTTAATTTAAGAAAAGCTGGTTAAAATTGGCTCCTTTTTAAAATGTAAGTTCCTTGGGAAACAGGCATCCATAAGGAAAGGGGATCCCAATAAAATTAACCCTGTTGCCACCAATTAAGGGAATAGGTTAACAAAGAATGGAAACCAATTCAGCCCCAGCCCCTCACCCAGCTTAACAGTTTGGGGTATACTGTCTGGAAATGGAACACATTGCAGAAACTTGCTTGGGTTACGGTCAAATGCACCTTACACACTCACTCTCCACCAGCACAGAGACACGCACTCAGCATCATTCAGGCCATAAAAGCAGAAGTTGCTGGAAAAGCTCAGCACGGCTGGCAGCATCTGTGAAGAAAAAATTCAGACTTAACATTTCGGATCCGGTGACCCTTCCTCAGAACTGGTTCTGTCGAAAGGTTAATGGACCTGAAATGTTAACTCTGATTTTTTTCTTCACAGGTGCTGCCAGACCTGCTGAGCTTTTCCAGCAACTTCTGTTTTTGTTCCTGATTTACAGCATCCGCAGTTCTTTCAGTTTTTATTTACCATTCAGGACACTTCAGATTCTGAAGCAGTCCATGTCCAAGTGCAGTGAGACCTGGACAATATCCAGGTTTGGGCTGAAAAACGGCAAGTAACATTTGTGCATCACAAATGCCAGGTGAACATCATCTCCAACAAGATAGAATCCAACCATCATTTCCCTCACCCCTTATATTCAATGGCATTAACCTCGCTGAATCCCCCGCTATCAACATTTTCAGAGTTATCATCAACAAAAAACTGAACTAAAGTAACCATTTAAATACTGTGGCTTCAAGAGCTGGAAATACTGCAGCTAGGAACTCATCTCCTGACTCCCCAAAACCTGTCCATCATCTACAAGGCTGAAATCAGTTATGGAATACTCCCCACTTGCCTGCATGAATGCAGCTCCAACATCATTCAAAAAGCAGCCCACTTGATTAGCACCACATCCACAAATGTCCACACTTTCCAACACCGACGCTCAGTAGCAGCAGCATGTACTATCTATATGATGACTGTAGCAACTCACCCAGACTAGACAGCACCTTACAAACACATGACCACTTCCATCTGAAAGGACAAGGGCAGCAGATACTGAGGAATACTAACTCTTAAAAATTCCCTTCCAAAGTGCTTACTATCCTGGAAATATATTGCCATTTCTTCAGTATTGTTGGGACAAATTCCTGGAACTCCTTCCCCAGTGGTATACTGGGTGTACCTACACCTACTGGACTGCAGTGGTTCAAGAAGGCAGCTCACCACCTTCTCAAGGGCAACTAGGGATGGACAATAAAGGCAGCGATACCCACAGCCCATGAATGAATGAAGAAACATCAGTGGGTCCTCATGCCTACTGGTTAATAAGTGTGGCACAAGTTTGCAAGTGAAAATAACAAATGTAGAGGCAAAAATGGATAGCCCTGCTTAGAGGATGGATGACAGATACAGCAATGCTCAGCTGGGTGCAGATGCGGGCATTCAGGAGGCACTGGGAACAAGGCTGTACATAGACCACAGCAATGGATTTGTTAGAGTCATAGAGTTTTTACTGCACGAAAAGAGATCCTTCGGCCCATCATGCCCACACTCGTCATCATATATCTATCTATTCTAATCCCATTTTCCAGCACTTTGCCTGTAGCCTTCAATGCTATGGCATTTCAAGTGCTCATCGACATAGTTCTGAAATAACTCGAGGGTTCCTGCCTCTTCCATTCTTTTAGACAGTGAGTTCCACATTTCCACCATACTCTAGGTGCAAAATATTCAAATTTCTTCTAAACCTACTGATCCTTACCTTAAAACCATGCCCTGTGTCTTGACGCCTCAATAAAGAAGAAAAGTTTCTCCCTATCTATGTTATCCACGACCCTCAGAACTTTGTACACATCGATCAGATCTCCACTCCACTCCCTCATCCGCCTGCTCCGCTATAAGAAAAACAACCCTAGCTTAGATTTTTTAAAAAGTCATTCACAGGATGTAGGTGTCACTGGTCAGGCCAGCATTTATTGTCCATCCTTAACTGCTCAGAGGGCAGTTAATAATCAACCACATTGCTGTTGGTGTGGAGTCACAAGTAGGCCAGATCAGGTAAGGATGGCAGTTTTCTTCCTTAAAGGACGTGAGTGAACTAGATGGGTTTTAAATCTAGAGATAGTAGGAACTGCAGATGCTGGAAAATCTGAGATAATAAGGTGCAGAGCTGGATGAATACAGCAGGCCAAGCAGCATCATAGGAACAGGAAGGCTAGGCCCGAAACATCAGCCTTCCTGCTCCTATGATGCTGCTTGGCCTGCCGTGTTCATCCAGCTCTACACCTTGTTATCTCGGGTTTTAAATTTAGTTTATTTTCCTATGTGTATCACTCCAGCCCAGGTAACATCCTGGTGAACCTATTCTACATCCTCTCTCATTCAATCACATCCTTTCTGTAGGTGACCAGAACTACACACAGGACTCCAGCTATGGCGTAACATCTTATACAGCTCTATCATAACTTCCCTGCCATATGCCAGAGTTCCCTGAGGCATTGGAGGGTAAAAAGTTAGAGTGGAATAGTCCATCCGACTCTTTTGAGAGAAGGTAGAAGAAGGATTTTATCTAGAAATGGTTTGAGAAGGGATAATTAAACAGGTTACAACTATCAGACCATCACTATGGAAGACCACCTTCCACAGTTGTAACCAGCTCCCTATTAATGCCAAGGTCTGCCAGCAGGTGCCCACCTTTATTGCTGGACTACATTTCAACTTGAATAGAGGGATTGCATGTCAATTGTAGAATCATATAATCGGACAGGCATGGCCTAGTGGTATTATCGCTGGACTACTAAACCAGCAACTCAGATAATGTCCTGGGACCTGGTTTCAAATCCTGCCAAGACAGATGGTGGAATTTGAGTTCAATAAAGAATCTGGAAATAAACATCTAATGATGACATTGATACCATTATTGATTGTCAGAAAAGCCCGTTTTGTTCATTAATGTCCTTCAGGGAAGGAAATCTGCCATACTCACTTGGTCAGGCCTACATGTGATCCCAGGCCCACAGCAATGTGGTCGACTCTAAACTGCTTTCTGGGCAATTAGGAATGGTCAAGAAATGCTAGCCTAGCCAGAGATGCCCTTATCCCATAAGTGAAATCTAAAAAAAGCATCAACTGGCCGGTAGGTATGCTTTATTAGCTACTTGCCAATTGCTGCTGTAGGTTGCCCTTCTCTCCTCACTCCTCAGCAACCTATCCCTAAACATGTTGGAAAACTAACATGCTTGCAGATAGTGAAAAATTGCAGCCCATCCTCTTCCAGACACACTTTCACTGATTTGACCACTCATCCGTCACCATGAGTATGTGATGATGTGGTACATAGATCTTCAGTGAGTAATTTAATAAAATACAGATGTTCAGGAGGTCTGATTTTTCATCTGGATTTAAAAAATCATGACAGATACAAAGATAGCTGAAGACAGAGAGAACGGTTACCAAAAATGGGGCAATTAGATAAACTTTAATTAACCACTGGAAACGACACTGTTAGTTATGATCAATCAAACATTTCTGTTTTTCTTCACAGACAATTCAGACTGTGGGAAGGGTGATGACCCTCAGGGGAAGAGGAAGATCGCTTTGAAGGTTCTGAGAACAGCCACAAAGGATTTCAGAGCAGGCTAGCAGCATGCTTTAAAATGGAAATGAGTATTCTGGTGGAACATCACAGACTGCTGTTGGCATTCTGTCCCTCTCTCTATTGATGGGGTAGCTATTCTGTCAAACTAACATGAACAGGATATTAGGCTGTGTCTTCCAGACCACATCTACCTTTTATTACCAGTATCCTTATTGGAATGCAAGAGAAAAAAGTCGCCTCCAGACAGGGGTCAGCTCTCAGCTTTAAGGAAAAAGAGCCAACAGTCACGCAGTGCAACCAGCAGTGTTTATTTTTCCTGGCTTCAATAAAAAGTTCAGTTATTAATTTGGGAGTAAGCTGCACTGGCTGACACAGTAAGATAAAATAAATTGAAAGTGACATAGAGGAGCATGTGGGTGTTAATCTGCATCATAGAGAGGCTGTTTGACATCTCAAACGATCCCAATTGCAAGCCGAGTCATATCACCTCTGCCTATGACCTCTGCATCAGTAAAGATCCAAGCACCTTGATTGATTTGTAAAACAAACAGATACAGCATTCGGTCACAAATTAATTACACAGTATGAAATACTGGAAAGCTCTCCTCTCCCAATAGTCTCTTATTTGATTTTGTACCCACCACAGATAGTTGAAATTGTAGATTTCCCCTTAGCCGGGTATCTTACTGCATCCCAAGCCACATTTCATTAGCCAGCATCCAAGGCCTGAAAACACTCTAGATTGAATGCTTCGTAAATTCCTTGCTGCTTGTCAAACTGGCAACACTTCATGTATTTATAGACTCTGATTCAAATATGAATTCAAGCCAAATTCAAGCAGCAATGAACACCATGCATCGGATATGAGCAGATGAAACAGGCTCCTGATCTAGGAAACCATAGTCTATTATTGTCACCTTGTGCTAAGCAGGATGGGGAAGTGGGAGGGTAGCTCTTAATGGCATGTGACAGCCTACATTTAAAGCAGATTTTCCCTCGGGATGCCTGGGGGAGGGGAAAATGCCTTTCTTTTTGTTCCTCGTGATCTGGTGATTTGTTAAAAATATTGCAGTTATGCCTTTGGGAAAGATATTAAGAAAAGTTATATCTTTAGTCAGGAACTCAACTGATCCTTAGGTAATACGCTATGGTAGAGGCTGACTGTTTAGTGTTTGAGTGAAGTTGCCAATGTTTGTTGCGGTGAACTATGATACGCTCAGCTGGAATGCATCATCTTCAAAGGCTCTTTTAACAGCTCCACATAAACTCACTCTTTCTCTTTTCTGAGTCAGATAAATTTAGAACTCATTGGGTTGTTAGTAGAGGAAAATGAAACTGTTGTAAAGCTAAGAATAAATGTTTGTCAGTAATTTGTTTCTTCTTTGTGTATTTTCTCAAGAATGTTTGTTTCTCTTCCAGAGAAGCCAATGTGCTCGTTGCACTAACTGAGCCTATATCTGTAGCTCGAGTTTATCTTGGCTGTGAAATGCCTCAGTGATTTATATAATGCTTACCCCATTCTCCTTTGAGGCTGAGCCAACTGTCTAGCTAGCACGTTAGTCAAAGCAACAGAACGGGAAGGATGGGGGGGGAGTGGAGGAGGGGGAACTTCATACACCACAGAAACATCCTTGTTCTGCAGTAGTAGAGACTGGTTAAGTACACATTGGTAATGTCGCTGAGAGCTGTGCTTAGCTTCCTAACTCCCCACTACCTCCCCAAAAAATGTATTTCCTGTTTTATAATATGATGCACAGATAAGATTTCATAAGAACTTTTTTTCTCAACATTGCACCATAGAGAACAGGACAGGAACATAACCAGAGACTAAACAACACTTTGTGTAGCCAGCAGCTGTGATCTGATAAGGAATGTGAATTATGACTGTGAGCCCTTGTCCTTCCCTGCAAGCATACTCTTTGAGCATGGATAAAACTTAACATTAATTTGATGCTGATGTACTTGACATAGCTTTGACTTTTGCCTGCCGATGTTTCCATGAAACATGGTATGGAGTAATTTCACATATTTATGGCTCACCATTGGTTACATTATGATGAACTGGTCAACATTTTCAAATTCTGAAAGATTTTGAGAGCATAATAGTGGGCACTGGTTGGTGAATTAGTTGCAAAAATACATAAACTTAAGATTAAGAAAGGAGAAATTCGAGGGAAAAATATTCAGACAAAATTATTAGAATGTAAGAAGTGACTTTTGAGACTATGATTACTTTATTATTTAAGAGGCAAGTGAATAAGTATTTGAAACAAAAGAATATAAAAATTATAGAGGGAAATCAAATTATGATAGACATCTCCAGTTAATGTCTATGATGCTGAGGAAATATTTGACATTACTAGAGAATCATATTTCGTCTGTCAGTAATATCTGAGGATTTTATTTCAGTTGTTGTAAGTCCTCTAACAATGATATATCACATAGACTCACTACAGTGTAGAAGTAAACCATTTGGCTCATTGAGTCCACACCAACCCTCCGAAGAGCATCCCAACCCCTACCTTATACCTTTCCCATCACCAATCCACCAAACCTATACATCTCTGGACACTATATTTTAGCCAATCTCTTTAACCTGCACGTCTTTGAACTGTGGGAGAACCTAGACACAGACACAGGGAGAATGGACAAACTCCACACAGTCACCCAAGGGTGGAATCAAACCCAGGTCCCTGGCACTGTGAGGCAACAATGCTAACCACTGAGCCACCATGCTGGCTACTGTCTCATGCATTTAGAGCTAGCTGTCCAGTGAACCTTGCATGCTTATTGCACAACCTTCAATAAACATCAAGAGAAACTCTAATAAGGCATACTAAATAAGGTCAGAGAAGGATACTGGAAAGTAATTCAGAAAGCTAATAAAATGTTTATTGCAAGGAGAATTGAATATGTACACAGAGAGATTATGTTCTAATTTTACGGGGCAATAGTAAAACCATGTCTGGAGTACTATGGACAGCATTGATCACTTTATTTAAAGAAGGATGTAAATATGTTGGAAGAATTCAGAAAAGGTTTAACGGACAAATACCTGGAATTGACAGGTTATCTTATCAGGTTCAGAAACAAAGTTGCTGGAAAAGCCCAGCAGGTCTGGCAGCAACTGTGAGGGAGAAAACAGAGTTAACGTTTCGGGTCCAGTGACCCTTTCTGAGAACTGATCTTATAAGGTAAGCTTCGATCGGCTAGGCTTACATGCATTGAAGCTCAGAAGGGTAACAGACAACTTGATTGAAATATATTAGATCCTGACTAGGGTCTTGATAGAGTAGATATGAGAGGATGTTTCTTTTATGGGAGAATCTAGAACCAGAGGTCACTAAGCAAAATTAGTGGTCACTTAACGAATGCAAAAATAAAGCAATTATTTTCTGTCTCTGCACATTGTGTTTTTGGAATTCTTCCTGGAAAGGTACAGGAAGCAGAATCTTTGAATATTTTTAATGCAGAAGTGGATAAGTTCTTCTTAAACAACTGGGCAAAAGTTTCTCAGGCTGGTGGGTGGGGGAGGGGGTGTGCGGGGGCGGGGTGTTGGGGGAGGAAGGTGCGAATGTGAATTTGAGATTAAAATTAGATCAGCTAGCGTGTTATTAAATAACAGAACAGGCTTGAAGGAGCCTACTTGCGCTCCTTTTGAATATTTGTACAACTTTTATTTATTCATTCACAGGATCAGGGTGTTGCTGGCTAGGCAGCATTTATTGCCCATCCTTAATTGCCCAGAGGGCAGTTGAGAGTCAACCACATTTCTGTGAATCGGGATTCACATGTAAGTCAGACCAGATAAGGATGGCAGCTTCCTTCCCGAAAGGACATTAGTGAACCAGTTAGGTACCCCCAACAATTAATTCACAGTCATCATTAGATTCTTAATTCCAGGGGAGGTGATGGCCTCGTGGTATTATTGCTGGACTGTTAATCCAGAGACCCAGATAATGTTCTGGGGACGTGGGTTCAAATCCCACCACAACAGATGGTGGAATTTGAATTCAATAAAATATATGGAATTACGAATCTAATGGTGACCATGAATCCATTGTCCATTGTCGGAAAAACCCATCTGGTTCACTAATGCCCTTTAGGGAAGGAAAGTGCCATCCTTACCTGGTCTGGCCTACATGTGACTCCAGACCCACAGCAATGTGATTGACTCTTAACTGCCCTCTGGGCAATTAGGGATGGGCAATATATGTTGCTTGCTCTGCGATACCCTCATCCCTTTAATAAATTTTAAAAAAGATATTTATTAGATTCAAATTTCACCATCTGCTGTGGCAGGATTTGAACCTGGATCCCCAGGACATTATCTGGGGCTCAGGATTAACAGTCCACTGATAATATTGCTAGACCATTGCCTCCCCTAATATAATTTATCTTAAAGGACACAGCACTTATCACAATTATAAATGTGGCTCTTCATAACAGGTTGTGAATATTTAAAGCAGATGTTAAAAATCTGAAATAAAATTACAAAATAAGATTATTTTACTGATGAAAGGTCATTGATCTGAAATGTTATCTCTGCTTCTGTCTTCACAGATACTGCTGGATCTGCTGATTATCTCCAACATTTTCTGTGTTTTGCTAAAAAAACAAGATAGTGTTGAAGTTGCACTATTGGCAAATATAAGAATACCAAATTTGCTGTGTTTTGATTATACTTGTGACCTGACTTAATTTAGAAGTATTGTTGCAGAAATAATTGCATGTATATAATGCTTTTCACATTCACAGGATATTCCAAAGTACAACTCAGTTTTCAGCCAATAATATATTTGAAGTGTAGTTACTGTTGCAATATAGCAGCTAATTTTCTCATGACTCACTCATAAATTTCAATTGATCACGACCAGACAATCAGTCATCCAACTCTTCCATTCTTGTGCAGAATACTGCCCTGAAAGGGAGGCAGGTAGGGATTCATTTTAATGTCTTATCTGAACTTCTCTGACTTAGAGCTGAAACTGTTACCAACTGATACACAGTCTAAATTATTTACACTCCCATCAATTCACAATCTAATTTGTGCAAACTATGATTTAAAGATTTAAAGTTCAAATTGATTAGATGTTTCAAATGAAATTGTGTCGTCCAACTTAATCTTTTGTGGTTGGACTGCAAATTGGAAATCCATATAGTTTCACTTCCAAATTCAACAACAGAAATTTGGTTTGGATATTTGGCCAAAGCAGCTAGTGATGAGCTGACCAATATCTTAAAAACAAGCCGCATAAACAATTACAGTGCTGCAAGAAGTTCAAAGAACTCATATGGTCAAAGTTAATGATGGCATCTTCAAATGCTATTTTAACATCAGACATTGTTTAATTTCCTACAGCTGCCACTTATCTACCAGCAAACATACTCAATCAGGACTAAAGGGCTCTCATGGTGAGAGGACAGTGTCCTTAACCCTGAGCCAGGAGGCCTGGGTTCAGATCCAACCTACTCCAGAGGTGTGTCAATAATACATCTGAATAGATTAATTAGTAAATATCTATCAATCAGGGCGATGAGTTCTTGTGTTGCTGGGGTAGTGCCCCTAACCCTGGGCCAAGAGGCCTGGGTTCAAGTCCCAGCTGTCTGAGAGATGTGTAATAATATCTCTGAACAAGTTGATTGGGAAATGTCTATCACTTGGGAGTCTCAGCTGACAATTGTTATTACACCATACCCTCACTGCTTCAAGTCTCATGTTCACACCCCACAGTTTACACATATTGTC